ATTCATAGCTTAGAAAATCAGATTCAGTGGTGAGCTTAACACTACTAAAATAGTTTTTTAGAATTAGAACGGATACTGTTTATCTCAAATTCCAAAGGACCCTGAACACAGTGTCTTCCGTATGATTAGTCAGTCACAAAGGGATTTTCATCTCAAAACAAAAGCTTCCATTTTCAAGTAACTTTTTTTTCAGTAGAAGCTATTGTTATGTGAGTGTCCATAAGAACTTGAGTTTCTGTCTTATTCCTCATGGTGACATTCATCTAGAAATAAACTTTAATTAGCTTGAGCTTTGAGCAAATTTAATTGGCCAGAAGTTATTTTGCGATGAATGCTGGTGCCTAGCTTACTTCCCCCTCATTGTTCAATCCAGGCCCCCAGCCCATGGAGTGCTGCCTCCACATTAGGTGGGTCTTCCCACCCCAATTAACCTAATCTAGGTTAATTCTAGGTTAAACTCACAGACAATGAATGTTTCTTTCCACAGTGATTCTCATCCACCAAGGTGTAAAACTAACCATCATCTTGTCCTCCTGCCTTCTCCCTTCCTCTTGCTCACCTCTTACTAATTCTAGGAAACTTAAGATTGCAGATCATCATGTGCCATTTCCATGGCACCCAATGCCCTCTTCTGGCCTCCACAGGCATCGCATGCACATGGTGCACCTACATACATGCAGGCAAAATGCTCATACGCATAAAAGAAATTTCAAAAAAAAAGAATTCCCAGCAATTTCATAGCTTGATGGTAAGATAGTATATGGAGTCAATTACAGTTTCTACTTTCCTTTGTTTTTCTCACCTTAAAGGTAGCAATATGATTCTTTTAAATATATTTTTATTTATTTGAGAATTTCATACATGCATACAAGCATATCTCAATCATATTCACCCCTCCCAAGCAGCAAATGATTTTCACTTTTGTCACTACCCATCTTGGTCATAAATAAGATTAATTTGTCATACCTATTAAATAGTTTTCGTTTCTACTAAATTACATATATGTGCCTTTGTAGATAGAAAGACAGGCAGACAGGTGGCTGGCTGGATGGATGGATGGATGGACAGGTAGATGGACGTCAAGTGGATAGATGGATACCAAGTGGATAGGTGGATGGGTGGATGGATGAACAAATGAATAGGTGGGGACATGGATGGATAGATGGATGGATGGATGGGTGGATGCATAGATGGATGGACAGATGGATGCTGAGTAGATAGATGGATGGGTGGATGGATGAACAAATGAATAGGTGGGGACATGGATGGATAGATGGATGGATGGATGGGTGGATGCATAGATGGATGGACAGATGGATGCTGAGTGGATAGATGGATGGGTGGATGGATGAACAAATGAATAGGTGGGGACATGGATGGATAGATGGATGGATGGATGGGTGGATGCATAGATGGATGGACAGATGGATGCTGAGTGGATAGATGGATGGGTGGATGGATGAACAAATGAATAGGTGGGCGCATGTATGGATAGATGGTGGGTAGATGATGAATAAATGAATAGGTAGGTGTATGCATGCATGCATGCATGCATGCATGCATGGATGGATGGATGGATTGATGGATGGATGGGTGGATGGATGGATGGGTGGATGCATAGATGGATGGACAGATGGATGCTGAGTGGATAGATGGATGGGTGGATGGATGAACAAATGAATAGGTGGGTGCATGGATGGATAGATGGATGGATGGATGGATAGATGGGTAGATGGATGGGTGGGTGGGTGGGTGGGTAGGTAGTTGGGAAGATGGAGACAGATAGGTAGGCAGATAAACATAGTTATCGATGACAGTATTGAAGAAATTACAAAAAGCTAAAATGTGTATGGTCTACAAATTACTGGTAACTGTAAATTAAAACACCCTTTATAAAATTTTACAAGAACCATTTATCTGTCACTAGACATTAGAATTCCAACTACAAAAAAAATTCTGAATAGGAAGATGGTCTTCTCAATAATTTTTATAAAAATAAGATATTTTTCATAAAACATTGGATATCGCTTTGTGACTAATCATAAGGAAGACAGCAAAGTAAATGTCTCTATATTCATCCAGTATAATTTATAAAGTGCTTATGCAAATTTTTCTTACAATAGTAAGACACAATTAACCCTAGCACTTGGGAGACAGAACTAAGCAGATCTCTATGAGTTTCAGAACACCAATCTCAACTAGGTAAGAAGTTTTCAGGCCAGCTAGAATTACAAACAAGCAAACAAAAAACAAAAACAGACACAAAATTTTAATAAGTAGGATTATAGCCATCAAAATATGAACAGAAAGAGGAAATTGCTCCTGTTAGGTAGGCTTGGACTGTGATTAGCATCTTTTGTTTCTTTGCCCATTTTTTATTTTTCAAAAGAAATGTGTATTTATCAGTAACAACAATGGAATTCCCAAGATTAATCCCTCAGCAAAGTGATTTGGACTTTGTGACCTAGAAAGTTCCTTTCCCATGCACAGGGAGCTCCAGCTTGGGGGAGTGAAGACAGCCTGAGAGGAGGGAGAGATATGGCTTCTAAGTTAGCAAAGCCTCTAGCAACACTATAAACAAGCTGCCTTCATGAAGCCGAGTGTTCACAGCAGAGTTTGAAGAAATTCAGCTATAGTTGCATCTTTTTTCCCACTGTTGCTTGTACGGTATTACAGCTGTCAAAATGGGGCAGCCATCATTCAATTGCATCCGCGCCCCAAAGAAGCCAAACTTGGCGCTTGTACTGAGACCCTTTCCTCTTCACGCTCTTTCTCAATATGCTTGGAGCATCAAGACTCAGAGTGGTCTCCTTGAGATGCACCAAACTGAATGGTCTTTATTCCACCAACTTCCCAAGACATCAGTTTGAACACAGTGAATAAAAGCATATTGAGATGACTGGGAGCTCCACCATAACGATGCATCAACACATACCAACCCATCCCTCAGAGTCACAGCTCGGCTGTGTCATTTCCACAGCTGGCCGTCAGGCCTACACTGCCTTTGGTTCTTAGTAGTAGTAGTAACATATCTTTCATTCCACTTATAGAGTCTACCGTTTGGAGTTTGCATAAAGGCTGAATGAAAAGAGGAGAAAATCCAGCCCTAGCCTTCAAAAGCCACGACAGTCTGTGTCTGTCTGCCTCAATGAGTTTTTAGATATTTATTATATTTTTTAATGTTTATAGAAGATCTAGGTCAAATACTATAGATTCTTGAACCACATGCAAATTGCAGCCTTTTGGTTTGTAGATTACTCTGGAAAACATCAATTTTATTGGGGAAGTTCTAATGGAGTGGGCTGAAGGATTTCTTGCTACCAGATACGGACGTATAAAATCACAACTCTTGAGAGCAATATAGTCAAAGGAAAGGCTTAACCTTAGAGCCACCTTCTGCTCCTTTTCCACGGGCCTTTCTCTTCCGGTTTCAAGTCAGGACATTGCTTTGCTGGGCTCTGTGTTTCTGAGTAAGCACAATTTGTCTTTCATCGGGTGTTTATTCATCTGACTGAAATAGCTTTCAGTTCTCTTGAAAAATTAATTTGGCTTTAACGTTCAATTATCTAAGACTCCCCTGGGCTAAGATGAAATCACACTGGGGGGAGTTTTGATCTCACAAATGCCCATTGAATGGGAGTCTTTGATCCTCTATCACAGTTTCAGCCCTCAGTCCTTTGGGTGACTGAGCTTCAAGCAGAATCTAAATTGATGTGGTTGGTAGTTTGGCACTGAAAGAATTCTTGGCATTTCCCAGCTGCCTTGGACTGCCACAGCTTGTTGGGTAGAGGTTCTAGATTTTTCTTAAATGCTTATCCCCCTCCAGAAATTGAATGAGGGCAGCGGTAAATAAGATGGACCACTCCCTTCCCTGGACTTCAGAGTGCTATGTTACCACTGCTTCCTAAGTGGCATGAAGCCCTGTGCTCCCTTACCTAGGAATTCTCAATCTTGGCTTTTCAGTCTCTGTTGCCTACTGAGTTTCTCCAAGCTTCTAAAAATTAAAAGGAAAAAATAATTTTCTGGGTCTAGAGAGATAACTCAGCAGTTAAGAGCACTGACTGCTCTTGCAGGGTACCTGGGTTGGGTTCCCATCACTCACATGGTGGCTAATAACTGTCCGTAACTCCAGTTTCAGGGAACCTGACACCCTCTTCTGATCTCTCTGGGCATCACACAACATGAGTGCACTTACATACAGGCGGGCAATACACTCATAAAATGAAAATAATAAATAAAATATTTTTTAAAAGTAAAAATAAATCATTTTCATTCATTTCCATGAAGAAAAAAGTAGCAGCTGGAGAGGTAGCTCAGTGGTTAAGAGCACTGGCTGCTCTTGCAGAGGACCTGAGTTCAGTTCCCAGCACCCACATTGGGCAGCTCACAACTGCCTATAACTCCAGTTCCAGGGGATCCAATGCCCTCTTCAGGCCCCCAAGGGCACTTGTACTCACATGTGCATACCCACACACAGACACATACAAATATGCATAATCAAAAATAAAATATATCGGGAGCTGGAGGGATAACTCAGTGGTTAAGAGCAGTGGTTGCTCTTCCGCAGGACACAAGTTTTGTTCCCAGCACCCACATGACCCCTAACAACTGTCATAACTTCGCTCCAGGAGATCTGGCGCCCTCTTCTGGCCTCCAAGGGCACTGCACACATCTGATGCACTTACATGCAGGCAAAACACTCATATACATAAAACAAAAATTAAAAGAAAACAAGAAATACATAGAACATCATATAGATTATGATAAAATGGATGGAGAGAAAAGGGGCGGGTCGCTGTGGTGGTTGGAGAGTATTTCCCAGAATCTCAGACAGCCTGTCTCTAAAGACAAATGACTTAAGAGCGAAAGGGCTGACATCAAATGCAAATACTGACCTTGATAAAGATGGCTCAGAGCATCTAGACTCGTTAGCAGTTTTGAATGTCCCTCTCCTGGAGGATTGACCTTGTCTAACACCTTCATCTCCTTCTCTCCCACAGATGGGGAGCTCTCCATATCCAATGAAGATGACTCCCTGGAAAATGGGCAGTCCCTGAGCTCCAGCCAACTGTCCCTGCCTGCCCTGTCAGAAATGGAGCCGGTCCCAATGCCCAGGGACCCCTGCTCATATGAGGTGCTCCAAGCTTCAGACATCATGGATGGACCAGGTACTGACTGGGCAGAGGCATTGGGTGGGTCCCCAGGGTGTCACACCATCCTGGCAGGACTTGGAGTTTCTCTTTTAATCAATCAGAGCATAAAGGTCTGAGAATGGTGAAATTGACCTTACAGTTACTCATGAATAACTGAGCACAGGAAAATATGGATGATACTTAAACATATCATCTTACAAGTGCTTTTAAAACACTTGTGACTTAAACACTTGGAAGGAGTTATAACTTGTTTATGATAGTGACAGATTAAAATATCATTGTTTTGTTTTGTTTTCTAATACTTGTCTCTGTTAAGGTAAATAGAATCCTATATCTCTCTATGGTGTCTCTCTAACTCACCTGTTCAAAAGGCCTGGCCACACTGTTTAATTTCTAGTCCCAATATATGGATCAGTGATTGCATCAATTTAGTGAATTTACTGGATACAGTCAGCTAATTTAACTCTTCATTAAATTGTATATAATTTCCTGGTTAAACTGGGGCTTGCCTATAGATGAGTTTGAATGCCATCTGATTATTACCTCCCTCTTTGGTCCTCTGTCACCTAAGTGGCTAACTTGCAGCTCTTAGAGGTACAGAGTCATACTAAAGATGAGTCCCTAGCAATAGAGAGGAACAGCATATGTTGCCAGGAGAGGGGCCTGGAGAAGGATCCTATGGGACTGTCTGGAGTGTGAGTGGAAAGACCACAGCCCTGGTGCCCACGCCTGCAGCATCTGCACACACAGGTGCATGTGGGAGAAGGGAGGAGAGGCTGTTTCCCTAAGCTGGCTCCCCTACTTTGCCGTGGGACATGGCCAGCTGTTGCTCCCTCCATTGCTAACACTGATGAGAACATCCCTTGAGGTGGGGAGAACCCAGTGCTTCTGGGGAGTCTTCACAGGGTTGCACTGCTGTGTAGACATTGCTCCTTGATGGAAGAAGAAGAACAGCAGGGCAGGAAGGCATCGCTCCTTAGCTTCCTCCCTGTAGCAGCCATGAGAAGCAGGCCAGGCAATTGACTTAGATTTTGCCCACTAGAGAGAGAGAGTTTTTGAACAAGACCTCTGAATTTTTCATTTTCAATCCAACTTTCCTTTGACCATCCAATGGATTAGATTGTTTTAGTGAAATCTGTCAGTAAAGTCGCAGAGTTTCATTCTTACTACCCAGACTGCCTGCTTGGTAGAAGGGTGTGGGCTTCCACTCCAGGATAGTTCATCAAAGGAGCCAATCAGGAGACTCCCGTGGGAAAAAGAAGAGTCAGATCCAAAGCAAAGAGAAACTGGGGGTGGGAGTGAGGAAAGAATGGAGAGGTTTGGAACAAGACAATGGGAGCCAGGGATGTGACTCGGTATGGTGCTTGCCTATCATGCCGAATGCCCTGGGTTCAGTCCCTAGTACCACGTAAGTCAGACAGAGTGGCACATGCCTTGGAATTCCAGCATTCAAGAGGTGAAGGCAGGAGAATCAGAAGTACAAGGTGATCTTCCACTACAGGGTGAGTTTGAAGCAATCTGGAATGCATGAGACCCTCTCTTGGAAAAATAAAAAGGAAAAGGACTAGGGGAGGGAGGGAAGGAGGAAGGGGAAGGATAGAGAAGAAATAAAGACAACAGTGAGTCTGTCAAGCAGGAAGGAAGGAAACAAAAAGGTGGATATGTGGCTCTTGCCTTAAATCCCAGCACTCAGGATGCAGAGGCAGGTGGATCTCTGTGAGTTTGAGGCCAGCCTGGCCTACATAGTGAGTTCTGGGCCAGCTGGAGCTACAGGGAGACCCTGTCTCAAAAACCAAAGTGCAGCCTCTCTGTATCCTCAGCTTCCTCTGAATTTATAGGGTCTGGCAGGGCGAGAGAGTATCCCCAATACTGGAATCCTCCCTGGGAGACTGACACTCAGTCCTGATGACCATTCCAGAGCTCGGGTGAACAGCCACTGAAGCCTGTGACTACAGGCTGCCACCTGGTGTCCCAGATCAGAGAGCCAGGACAGAGCAAGACCCAGCGGACAAAAGCAAGACTCTCTTCTAGTTTAGATCCTGTCTTTCTTCCTCAGCAAAGGGTTCACAGGCCCAAGTGAAGGTGCAGGCATTTGGTTCTTCTTGTTCAGTTTAGGGCACTCTTATCCTTGACCTACTGTGCTTACCATCCTGTTGATTGTGCCTGTGGTCCCTTGAGTCGCATTGCAGAGCATCTGTAGATGTTGTATGATAAATGCTCAGGTTGAAATGGTGATGTTCCTCATGACAAAATGTCCTCTTTCTCCCTCTTGTGCCCTCTACCTTTCTCCTCTTTCTTCCTCTGCCCACCCCCCTCTATCTTTTACCACCTCACCTGCTTTCTTGAATTTCCTATGCCCTTGCTTTAGCTCTCCATGTGCCCATGGTGGCCTGCAGCAGGCAGAACTTTGCTGTCTTGCTGGCCTGCCAGTGTCCCTGTCCTATGTCCCTGGCTGACCCCTGCCAGCCCCACCTGCACTGTGTTTGTGTAATGTCTCCTGTGTATCATGTGGTTGTCCCCTCAGTGTCTGAAGAGAGTCCCTCTGCCAGTGAGTCTGGAGTCCTCCTGTCCCAAGATCCTTCAGCCAAACCAGTCCTGCTCCTGCCCCCCAAAAAACCTGCCGCTTTCCCTGGAGACCATGAAGAGACCCCAGTGAGGCAGCTGTCCCTCCTCAAGCAGCCCCCGGCCCTGCCTCCCAAGCCCACTGCCCGGATTGCCAACCACTTAACAGGTGAGTCCAGCATCCTCTGAGATGCACAGTCCTTCCTTCCCTTCACGGGATAATTTCTTTCTCTCTTGTTCTTTTTATGTGAGGCCTAAATAGGTATCTCTGGGGGAGGTGGCCCCATGGGTGTTTGGGTTTTGTGTTTTTGTGTGTTGGTATATGAGGTCATGACCAATGTTTACGTTTCTCTGTCTAGAAGCATTTGATATACATTCGCCAGCCATATGCCAAGAAACTTCAGTGTATCTGTAATATGTGTATCTGTAAATATGTACATTGTATTTATGTGACCAATGGAAGATTCTTGCCCATCTGGGAAAATTAGATTCAATGTCAAAATGTTTTCAGAGACAAAGAAAACTGCTTTGCTTCCTTCATAATGAGTTTCTTGAGGCTTTAAATGTTTTATCTTTAAGTTGATCTAGAGCCTGGTATATTTCTGCAGTTGAAGTTCATTTGATTCATTTATTATCAGTTTTCATAAAAAATAAAAAGGCCAGACACTGTGGTACATACCTATAATCCCAGCACTTGGGAAGTAGAGGCAGGAAGATCGGAAAGTCAAGATCATCCTCAGCTACTATAGCAAGTTAGAGGTCGGCCTGAGCTGCATGAGACCCTGTCTCAAAAAGCAAAGGCAGTAAAATAATCCTCCAAGTATGTGGGAAATCCTTTTGGAGAAAGAGCAAGCTTAGCAATGTTGCCTTAAAATGTTTTCTGTATTTTCACTTCTGTATCATTAATGAATGTACCCACAAGTATTAAGTTGGTTACGTAATGAAATTGCATTTTGCCATACATGATACAATAAGATTTAAAGATTATAAACCTAGTTGACCCTTATGAGCTGCTTTTTTACAGTATAGTTTTACAGGAACTTACAGGTTTCACAAATAGAATCTATGTGAGCTCTGTAGCATTTCTAGTGTAATGGGGATGGAAGTGGAGAGGAATACTTACCTATCTTGTGCTAGAGAAACTGAGAATCAACAAGTAAACGACTTCACCAGGGCTAGCAGAACTCTGCAGTAGAGGCAGGATTGGAGCCAGGGTTTCTCACCTGCTAGGACAGCAGCAACTGTGCCCACAGTAGCAGGACAGCACTCATGTGGTGCTGAGATTATAGAGTCCACCTTCAACACAGACTGTGCCAAACTACTCTACCAACGTCCCGGTCCATCCCAGCTAGATATTTGTGGTGTAGAAAGACCAGTGTCCATCTAGGAACCATTCACCACATCAATAACATGTTAGCTGAGTGCCCCCAAGTTTTAATTCACAGAAAATCACGAAGGAAAAAGACATTCTTGAAGACATATAGCTACTGTCCAGCAAAGGTCAAACTATTGTCTTCTCTCTTCTGTTCCCACCTGCTCTTTGCATTTAGCATTATAGCGTGACCTATATCATGGAGCAAATATTCTGTGCACAGTTTCACTAGCTACTTGGTATGGGCTAAGGGGGCTCTCCCATATTCTCTGTTGTTAAAAAAAAATATAGCATCAGGCATCCATAATAGCTTGCATATGTATTTTCAATATCTCTGTTTTCCTAAGAATATTTCTAGGATTAGAACTACGAAGCCAAAACTACTTTTAAACCTTCAATAACAAATTTCCCTAAAGAAAGATTAAATGATATGCAAAATAAACTCCTGCACATACATGTAATACATATCAGAAGACTGTAGTTTTATCAAAGTGAACACAACTCCGTGCTAGGTTCATGAACCACCAGGCCTCTGTGTCCATGGGTTCTACAGCCAACCACAGATCAAAAAAATATATTTTTCAATCCTTCTGTACTAAATAGGCACAAGACTTTTTAACCATTATTTCCTTTTGTAGGGTTTTTTATTTTAATTTTTAAATTTTTTTAAATTTAACCACATGATTAGAAGAAGTATTTCATTACAGCTTTAACATATTCAGTAACACATTCCAGAGCAAGGATACATCTCTTTCAAAAGTGGCTGTAAATTTTTGGGTTCGCAGTTGAATTAATACAGTTATACAATATTGAACTCAGGATAAATCTTGTAAGACATAAAACTGAATGTGTTTTAACCCTTTAAAGAAGATCTCCATTTCATTTTAAAATATGCTGTTTCCTACAATTTTAATGCTACTAACACTTAGATGTTTGCACACGTGTCTTTAATCTCTATGTATCTGACTATTACTAGTCACATTTGGTTACACTTGGATCCTTGGCACCTGAGTGTGGATATAAAGTCATCAGGTAGATTTCACTGGTAATGTTTATCAACTCTACTATTTAACATGAAGTACATTTTTATGCTTCCTCCTCAAATATGTTTTTTAGTTTGTCAATTTTTTGTGTGTATATCATACAGACCATCCCACACAATCTTATTCATCTATATACCCACTTCCCAAATGGCACCCTCCCATAGCCTCCCCACACACACACACTGGAGCTGATATACTCTGTCATCCCTGTTACTGTCCACTGTGTTGTCGGCACCTCCAGCCATTCCCCAGTGCTTGTCCATCTCCTGAATTGGTCAACCTATCTAGAGTCCTTGTTTTAGGAAGATCAGCTGTTCCTCATCTAGCAGCAATCAGTTGTCAATATTCCTTTAGATAAGATTAGGGTCTGCTGTTCATTGTCCCAATTCTATGCTGGGTTACTGTCTGGGGATCTCTTGGGCCACCCTGGCCAACGACTCAAAGGAAGGTAACTCCTGTCTGCCATTGTTTCTTGTTGTGTAGCCTTTAGCTATATGTATGGACTCTTAAAAAATTATATTGACCCCATTAATCTTTGGTTATACTTTCCTTTGGGGTGTTTAAAACCCTACAATTGGCCCAGATAAACCAACTTATTTTTACTCTTAAGGTCATTTGAGTATCTGTTCCTCAGGGGTAACATGGGCTTGGGAGGAGCCCCTGGCTTTACCAGTTCTGTTTATGTGAAGATAAGTCAAAGATCCTGCTCAACAATGGCTGGCTTTGCTTGGAAGCACAGAGGAAATGATTCCTCTGTGTTGACCCTCTGCTTTGTAGACTGGACACTGGTTCAGGTCCATCTGGTGGACCTCGGCCTCCTTGATCAAGAGGACAGGTGACTCACCACAGTTACAGGACATTTTGAGAGATGCTGGAATGTAGTCGACCTAGGAGGGAAAGGAGCAGAAACTGTCCTTTATATCCTCTGTCCAAATTAATATAGGCCTCATATTATGGCTGTTAAACATCTAAGAAGGTTAGATAAAGAAGGTTAGATAAAATATCTTGGAATAAACCTGACCAAAGACATTAAAGACCTCTACAATGAAAATTTTAAATCCTTAAAGAAAGATTGAGGAAGACATCAGAAGATCCCAATCTAAATCCCCATGACATTTTTCACAGAGTTGGAAAAAAACATCCTAAGATTCATATGAAAGCACAAAAGACATCAGATAGCCAAAGCAACCCTGAGCACTAAGAACAATGCCAGGGGGATTACTATACCAGATTTTAAATTGTATTACAGGGCTATAGTCATAAAACAACATAGTACTGGCACAAAAATAGACCTGTAGATCAATGGAACAAATTTTAATACTCAAATATGAGTTCATGCAATTTCAGCCACCTGCGCTTTGGCAAAGGGGCCAAGAATATTCACTGGAAGAAAGAAAGCATGTTCAGCAAATGGTGCTGGCAAAACTAGATCTCCATCTGTAGAAGAATGAAACTCAAACCCTATCTTTCACCTTGAACAAAAGTCAACTCCAAATGTGTCAAACACCTCAATGTGAAGCTTGAAACTCTGAAAGTGTTAGAAGAAAATATTGGCAATAACCTATAAGATATAGGTGTAGGAAAGGATTTTCTAAACCGGACATCAACTGCCCAGGAAACAAGGACAAGAATCGACAAATGGAACCTCATTAAACTAAAAAGCTTCTGTACATCAAAAGAAGCAACCAAGGAAGTGAAGAGAAAACCCACAGAATGGGAAAAAATTAACCTTTTTTTTTTTTTTTGGTCTTTTTGAGACAGGGTCTCCTTGTAGCTCCAGCTGTCCTGGAACTCACTATGTAGACCAGGCTGACCTTGAACTCACAGAGATCCACCTGTCTCTGCCTCCTGAGTGCTGGGATTAAAGGCGTGTGCCACCACGCCCAGCTTAAACCATTATTTCTTAAACTGTGCAATGTGACAGTTATTTGTCTGGCATTTGCATCATGTTGGGCATTATATGTCATTTAGAAATTAGTTAAGGTATATGTAAGGGTATGTGTAGGATCTAAGCAAATATTGTGCTACTTTATAAAAGGGACTTGAGCATGCATGGACTGTGGTATCCATAGGAGTCCTAGAACAAGTCCCCTACAAATACTAAGGACAGCTGTGTTATGTATACAGGAAACAGAGTACTAGTGCAAATACCATTCAGAGGACTACTATATTGGTCAGTGAAACCTCACAAAGGGCCCCTGAAGAAGACTGATACCTGGTTCACTTTCACAGTGGGAAGAGCATCTGTGGAGAACTGAGGAAGGGATTCCAGAAAAGAAGACCCCATAAGAGACTCAGAGAAATGTTTCAAGAATTTAACTGGCTCAGCTGGGATGAAGGCTCCCTCTGTTTAGGGAGCTTCATCCCAGCTGTTAGCCTTCATTTGAAGGCTTCATTTAGTGACACTAGGATGCAGGAGTCCACTAGATAATGATCTGCAAAGCTTTAGATTTTATTGCCCAGGCAGTAGGAGGATTTGGAGGTGTTCGAGGTTTCTGTGATGGAACTAGCCTTTAAAATGTCATCCTGAGTCACTGCGCAGAATGAACAGAAAGAGGAACCCGTCATAGACTTGTCAAAGAACGAATGAAGCTAGCTATGAGCTATGTACCTCAAAATTGCTAGTATAATTGAACAGAATGCTCTGAGACAGGAAGGCTTCTCCAGTCATTGCATTATCCTACACAATGAAAGAGAGAGCAGACCCGTAGATAAGAAAGAAAAATTACAGAATTTCTTAACTTACAACATCCT